GGGGTCTCTCGCGGCCCCCTTCCCGCGAGCGTCATCTCCCTGCAGAGCCGTCTGCCCCGCCGCCCGGGCGCGGGAAGGGGAGGAAATGGCGCCCCCGGTGGCGCGTGCGGCTACGACCCCGCTATCCGCGGATCCGGGCCCCGCGGCGGTTCGAGCGTCCCCAGCAGACGACTCGGGCCCTGCTGGGGCGGGGGCAGGTGGGCGCCCAGGGGACATTGACTGACTTCTGTATACAGCAATAAAATAACTTGGGGTGTTTCCGTGTTGGGCGAAGCTGTACGCGCGGCGAGGCATGGGGGTCGCGGGGGTGACCCGGTCCCCTGCGTGCCGACTGCGCGCCTGGGAAGACAGAGTAAGAGGAGGCGCTACTGCCCCTGAGGGGTGAGCCTGCAAGAGACGGGGGATGGCGAGGGGAGGCCACCAAAGGGCAAAGGAGAGTTGGAGAGGCCGTGGGCAGCGGGCCGGGATCCACACGAAGAACCCGGGGTGTTGCGCCCGGCACCACGCGGGGGCGCCACACGCCCACCCGAGAGGCCTGAACCCCGCCAGAAGCGCTGCGAGCCCCAGGCCTCCCCGCTGGGTACCACAGATCACACGCGAGGGAGACCGACACAAATTTCAGACCGTGTTTGTGTCCCGCCAGTCTCCCCGAAGGGCTCGCAGGACCGCTGTTAAGGAGCGGAGGCCTTACCGTTGTTACGCCTAACGGAAGGGGGAGGCGACAAGCAGCACACCAGCGTCACCCGCGGGGCTTTGGCGTCGGGTGACGGTGCCTTGGGTTAGCGCTCGCCGCCGCCACGGCCGCCAGGGCACCGCGGAAACTGTACCAGGAGCGTCCTTAGCATCTGGCTAAAGTAACTCAACAGACATGAATTCACCTTTCATATGTATATGCGCACATGACAGGCATTAATCCTCACCAGGTGAGAGTCCAACCAGAAGCCGGCTGTCTGCCAGCCGGGGCACCAGATCCGCTGGCCTCCGGAGACAGCAAATGCTGTTGTCTGAGCCGCCCAGTCTGGGGTCGTTGGTTACAGCAGCCCGAACTAAGACAACAGGGGTTCACTAAAAGCAAACGTTGGATCGAGACTTTGAGTACAAGCAGTTTGTTGGGTCACAGAAACTCTCCAGGAGCGTTCTTGTAGAGGTGACGGCTGCGGACGTGGGCCGCAGCCACAATCCACCCTTTGCAGGGCTCAAATTCATCTGTGGCCTTGTGCTAAGTTCATGTCCCATCACTGCTTCTTCAAGGTGGTGGCCGATCGCAATTCTAATTCTTTTAAAGAAAAGCCTTACAATAGGGAGGCCAGCGGGACAAACTCCAGCAGCCGTTGCTGCGGTTGGTTCCAAGGCCGTGATCAATATCCAACACCTCCCTGCTCTCCGGTCCACTCTGGGTCTCCGGGGCCTTCACGACGGGAAGCCCAGACCCTCGTCGCTGAAGGCCTTTTGTCGCCATGCCCTTGACAGGCCAGCATTGCCGCAGCCGCCCATTCATGATTCCCGCAGGATGTGGGACAGATAATCAGGATCAAACGTCTTTGCCAGTTTAATTCCCTCCTTTGTCTACTGGCCAGTTGGCACGAGGCACGCACATGACCCAGAGGCTGCCGTGGCCTTGGGGTTAGTGGCGCCCTCACTGTAACCCCTGGTAGGTGCGTCCCCTAACCTGAGAGCTGGGACTTCTAACCCCGTGGAGCCTAAACTCATGGGGGCAGGAAGCACAGACTCCCCATGAGGGCCGCGGGGCCTGACCGGAGAGAGGGGTGCTCTGCTTCCACGCCCCGGGTCCTGACCCACGTTGTCGGGTGCAGCACCGGGCGATGGCCGTTGATGCAGAAAGCCTGCGGTCGCGTGCCCATCGGCACAGTGCCTTCGCTGTCAAATGGATCCCTTGGGCGGAGGAGACACTATATGGGATCTAAGGATAAGTCACTTCCTTTGTGTCCTTGGATGCTGGTGCCACCCGAGGCATCTGGGCAGGGAAGGCAACTCCACATCCCGAGTCTGAACCCCAGGAGGGGCGTCGCTCTGCCCTCCAGATCGAAAGAGGTGCCGTGTAGTTGACGTGCTGCCCAGTGGCTTGGCCGGCTCCTTGAAGGACGTGCCACGTCGAGGCGTCGCTGTCTGTCTCTGCTGCTGACAGCCCGATCATTCAGCCGCGGCAGGAGCTAGGTCAGCCTAGGTGAGAGGGAGCCCTCGCTGGTCCCCACATCTACTGCCTCAGCTATGCCATCCATGCGCCCATTGTACAAGGCCTGGCATGGCGGAGGACAAAGGCCGGCTGTTAGCCACTGGAGTCCCTCTCTGCTCTTGGCCGTTCGATGCCCTGTAACGGAACGGCCACAGACACGACGCCCACGGCTGTAGGCCACCCTCCTAGCCCCTCCCCCGACTCCACCATCTCCAGTCTCACGCATTCCTGGCCTCTCAGCAACCAGTCAAGCCATTTGCCACTGTCCAAGAGCCCGTGGGAAGCCTTTCCCCCAAGTCCCTTCACCCCGGCAAGGCGGGTGGCCATGCACTGCTTGAAACCCTCCCTCTGTCTTTCAGGGCCACCCCCACGTGGCACTGTTGTGAGCAGCAGCCCCCGTTGGGCTCTGATTAGTATGTCAAAGTGACTCATCCATGAGCCAGGCCCTTGCTCTTCCGTCCTCTGCAGGCGGAGCTGAGAGGCCTCGGTGCAGCGGAGACGGGCCCGTGGGGTCCGCGTCTGCTCACGGAGTGGCCCCGTGGCTTCCCGATGGGCTCGCACTCAGTCACAATCATGCCATTTTGGATCGCTCTGCGTCCACCCACGTGTGCTCACGGCTTGGTGGGTCTGAAAAGTCCCGGATCTTAATGCAGAAAGTGAGACAGGGCCACGACGCACTCCAGTTAATAACCGAGTACATAATCCGGATAACTGAGCGGGTTAGGACTGCAGGCCGCGCCGCCACTCTGGGCGACTGGAGGACCCGGCGCGTGCGTTTCTGCCACACCTGGGAGGCGAAGGGGCTGGGGATTCTGCCCACCTCCCCCTCCGTCGCTGGTTGAAGGCTGTCTCCAGGGGCATTGACTTCGTGCACGTAGAAGCACGCGTCCTCAGTGAGAAAAGTCCTCAGCGGTCAGTGGCCTTCAGCTCGTTGAGGTGGCTGCTGAGTGGACGTGGTGAGGATGACGACCGGATCTGCTGTACCCGATCGCTTTACAAAATTTTGACTTGGTGCCCTATCAATGCCCAAAGGTGACCAGCGATTTTTCTTCAGTAGCGTTATGAACCCATGAACGTTTTATGTATTTGATGCGTTTCCACCTCTGACCATCATTATTCATTTTAATGCTGAGGGCGTTTTAATGCTGAGGCCGGTGGGAGTCTTCTCAAATTGGCTACTGGATCCACCTGACGTGAACTTGACCTGGGTCTCCTAATTTCCTTATTCTCAAGTATGAAAAGCTATCCTGCCCCAGGCCTGGAATTTCTCCAGAGTCCGGGTTCCTTTTAGCAGGAAGTACTTTTCAGAGGCGACTCGCTGGACACAAGGAAAACTGTGATCACTTCATCCCTACTTCTAAGCCTTTCAGCAAACCGGACACGCAGACCGTGAGTTCATGCCGCCACGTCTCATTCAGACGAAAGATGGGCAGCTTTTGCTTAATTTTCCTTTTCTTACACTGAAAAAATTCCCCACATCATTCCTCTAATTATTCATTTGCTTTATCACAATAAGTAGCACTTTTCAAAACAGTAATTCCAACATTAAGATTCTCCCACGGATCTTTTGCTCTTAGAAATAAACACATAGTCAAAACGCTGAGTTTTATAATCACTTGGAAGAAGATTCTTTTGTGTGGCTTTGCTGCCAACTTCATATACAATTAGGAGCATCTGTTTAAGTCTGCCTTAGATTTTTAGCGATCGAAGCACTTTTCTTCTATTTAATTTAATTTAAAATTAATTTAATTCCTTCCAATTTAACTCTGTGTTTTAATTATATAAAACACATACACGGTTCTGACGTCGAAACCATAAAACGAGGTGTTAGGACCATTTTACAGGTGAAGAAGCTGAGGCCCAGAGAGTGTCGTAGCTGGCCCAGTGTCGCAGGAGGGCGAGGGGCAGGGCCGCAGGGGGCCTGAGGGGACCAGCTTTTTCTCGAGAGGTGGACTGGGTCGCACTCAGAGTCGAGCCTTCCAGCTCCTTCCGCTGTGGAACAGCTGGCGGTCTCCTCTGGACACAAGAGTCTGCGCCCCGCGAAGCGAGGGTCTGTCAGCTCAGGGGGAGAGTTGGCTTCTGCTCATGAAGCAGGGGTCCTCCCATCATGTTATTCAGCCTGAGGTTTTCCCCGCCCCCCCCGGCCTGCTGTCTCCCCAGCACCCCACTTCCCCTCCCACCCCCGCTGCTCTCAGCTGCAGGAGCCCTCAGAACCCCCCGGCCCTCCCCGCCCTCCCTGCTGGGCCGGGGGCCCGCTTCCTGGCCCCTTTCAGAAGCTGTCAAAGCCCCCATTCTCCAGACACAGCTGTGCCAGCGTCCGGCGGCCCCCCAGCCCCCCTTGCACGGCCCCGTGGCAGAGGACCAGGTGTCTGTGTGGTGCGCAGGGCCTCGGGGAGGGGCTACGCTGCCTGGGCCCCAACCCCTCGAGTCTGGGACAGTGGCGCAGGCTCTCCCTGAGGTGGTGGCTATGGCTGGGACCCCAGTGAGGAGGGCCCAGGGCTAGCCCTGGAGGTGGGAGCCTTCGGGATGTGGGGACATGGAGAGGAGATTCTGTTGCCTCAGCCTGGGTCATGACCTCAGCCGAAGGGGCAGAGGCAGGACATGGGTGGTCCCCGTCCAGGGAGACCGGAGAAGTCCCCGGGCCCAGGAGGCTGGGAGGTGAACCCGCTGGGTTGTGCCAGGCGTGGGGGGCGGGGATGCCTGCACCTGCCCTCCTTCTCTGGTCTTCTGCACCCCAACCTTCTCCCTGAGAGAAGCAGCTGGGCC